TCTAGGTAGTTACCCTACGGGAAAACAGGTGACGGATTCGCCTGGAATTTCGTCACACAATTTTTACTAAAATAATTATTCAATATTAAGGAAACCAAGAAATAATCAATTTCTGGCACCATGATGTTTGAACCATTACCCCCGATACAACTGACGATTTACCACGTTGAATTGGTGCAAATTTGTTTGAATTTTTGGGCGGTAAGGTTTTTTAAATTTGAAAGGAAAGCGCGCGGTGCTCTCTCTGTCTAACTGCGCCCCACTTCGTACACGCTGCTACTCCCACCCTTACTACGCTGGGCTCCACGCAATTGGGGTATTGTATTTCTAATAATGGGCCTAATAGGGTTTTATGGCCCCGGCTCCCGAGGATCCGACTTTGCCCATGCCTGTTATACATAATGACGAACCCGTGATCAGCACGTTCTTTAAAACTTGCAGCCTTTCCTGACTTCTCACCGAAGTCCACCAGACCAGAAGATTTTGAGAGTTTACTGCCAAACTTTCACGTGTGAGTATTTCATCGCGCAGAATAATCCCATGTTTATCTATGTCTGTTTTTTTGGCAAGCACTGTTTTGAGTACTGTGAAAAATTTGTCATCGAAAACATGAGAGACTTTAATGGTAGATCAATATCGTTGAATCGCGCGAACGTTAAGTAGTGGGAGCATTTCTGTACCATAGATGAATTTGTAGCAGATTGAAGACCGCATATGAGATGACAGACATAGCAGCATCCACTCTTCCGTATAACTCCTTCCTTTTGAGCTCATTTTCTTAGATGCAGGGATTATTTCCTCCAAAGCAGTTGACTGATTCTTGGAAATTTTTCCGTCTCATACTTGTCCATGTCGGATTCCTGGAAAGTATCCTCCTCTTGATACTTGTGAATGCTCTTTTGTGCTCGATTGACAGACTTCACTGAACAATTAAGTTTTCTTCTCATCTTAGAAATCATGAGTCTTCTCTTTGGTGATACAATCACGCGGATACGTTTTGTTGGATTTCCAAGAGAGCGTCTGACTTTTTAGCCTACAGTTTTTTTTCAACGCATACAAACCGAGCAAACTGCATCGATACCTGTGTCATCAATCAGTAAACGGCACGATTTCTGACGCCAGATGTCACCAACATCTTTGTGAGCAATTTCACACGTAGTTTCTTCCAACTCATATTGCAATTGGGACCCCCCCCCCCCCCACAAATAATCAATTTGTCAACAGTGTCAATCAATTTTTCTAAGCTGTCCTTGTCTTGAATACACTCTATATTTTTCAGTAAACCACTGCAACCGTTGTGAAAGTACGTATACTTGATCCATTAAATGATTGGTTATTATAATCTCCTCCCAAATTTTTGTTTCACTAGCGCCGCCACGGCCGCAAGCAACCGCGACGTTGATGAGATTTTCATCACATGTCAGGTCAGGGGTCCCGTTCGATTATCGAATCGAATGAAAAATGATCGATTATCCCCGTGAGATCCGCCATGTTCGATTAGTGGACCGTTCTTTTTATTATGTAGGAAAAAATCCTTCCTTCAGGGTCGTTTTTAATGTAAATAAATGGAGTATATCTTGACCTCCACATCTAGGAAATCCTCTCACCCAGTTCGGAGGTAACGCAGTATTTACTGCTAGCAGATCTTCGAAAGACTTTTGTTTTATAGCAGCCGGTTTGTCATCAGGAAAGCAAGGCACTGATAACGCCACATTCTGAGTTAAGGAACGGTGTGTAGTATAGATGATTGATCTCCAAAGCCTTGATCTAGAGAAACGATCCTCTGCAAAGGTTCAGAGGCTAGTAACGAGGGTGATTCATGGCTTTGAGTGTCCCATCGACTTATTGAATTCCACCGAAAAATTGAAGGAACTGTTCCTAGCTTCAAACGTGGAAATTTCAACTGTGTCTACAAATAACGAATACTTCTGAAGCATTACTGATAATTACCACTCCAAGTACTACTCCATCAGTATTCACATGTTCACGTTTCCATTAAATTTGTTCACATAAATGCTTTTAATAATGCTTTTCGCATACATCCGTACCTACACGCAATTTTTCAGATCTTGTGGCTTCTTTCCACTCATTCAATAAAGCTTTCGGAACCGTGAAGAAGTGGAATTTGTTGGTATTAGACTGATAGCCTGATGTACAATTAGGGACTGCACAAGTAGACATAATTATGGCAGTTCAATCTCACTTTTTTATCATTCAATATGACTTTTTCCCGGCTTTTCTTTCAAACGAACGAGGCAGTGAAATAATGGCACTTGGGAGAATGGAAGGGGTCAGTCAAGTGTCATCCAGCGCCGTGTTGTGGCCGTCAGAATGAGCCTCAATAGTGCGGACACGCATTGTATGGGGATATTGGGTTTAGTGTCAGGCGGCTATTATAGAACAATACGATAGAACCATATATAGACCCACAGGACCATAGAAGTTTTTGTCAACCCCCAAGTAATTTGCTCGAGGGAGGTCGTGACATAGAGTTCTACCATCTCTAATGTCATCGAATCCGAAAATTCATCTATATAACGATTCTTCTACTATCTTCCAATCGGGAAAGAAGTCGAATACGTTATGTTTCGGTATTTGCGCGAGTACTACTTATCAGCGGAGATTCTAGCTACTACGATGGTCTTACAGTTCGCACCCTCGCCGTATAGTGCGCGAGATAAAGCATCGGGCATGGGGGTCATGTTCTGAATCGGATAGGCGTCTTTCTTGGTGACCTCATTCACCTTGCGCCAGTCGATACGAAACCTATATTTGTGATTGGGTTTTTCAACATGACGATCGGATTACAGGCAGTGACCACAATACCAGGAAAGCTAGGTTCCGACTAGCTTCTTGTCAGAAACTGCCATGAAGGATCTGCCTTTCTCGATTCTAGAAAAGAGAAGCTTCACATCTTCATGACGAAGACTGGAGAATTTTGCATTCCTTTTTTTTTCATCGAGTAAAATATTGAAATCGAAATTGAAACCTTTTGGTTCCAACTTGGAAATCGTGTTTTCTATGGGAAAGGCCCCACTTGGGGTCCGCGGGGATGAGCCGGCGAGGTCGCTCAGTGGAGGAACCAGAAAGTTAACATATTTCGGGAGATAGGCAACTCTGTGGGGGTGGAATGTAACCTGAGGGAGGTTGCCGCTCAGCAGGAAGATCGCGCTCTGCCGCTCGATATTTCGATAACCTACATAGAGAGGAGGTCTCCGAAATTGAGATCGGTCTCAATCGAGACTATCACCTTCTCCATCCATTTGATCGGATAGGTGAACCGGGTTCATAAGATGAAAGATCCCTGCACCCGAAAATCCAGTCAAAGAGCAGTACTCTGTCGGTGGAGTACCCGGATTATCCGAAGACTGCTCTGCATGAGCAGAAAGGTCAGTAGGAATAGTTTTCTTTCGTCCACCTATTCTTCATGGGAGACGGAAAAAGAGGTAGGCCAAGAAAAAAAAATTGAGCGTTTAATCCAAAGTAAGCGTTTGCAGACAAGAAAAAGAAATTGAAAATTCCAACCGAAGTTGGAGAGAGTGAATATACTTTCCAAAAACCTGGACAGTAGTCTGAAAATGAAAGTCTTACTTTGTCGCCAAAGTCGTAATCGAATAGGGTAGTCACTTTTCACTACTACAGAACGGAATCCAAAAAAAAATTTTAAGGTCAGCTGGGATGTCTTCACAAATGGGCAAGACGTATGCCTCACTGTGGGCATGTCGAAGAGCCATGGACAGAGACTGGGGCTTTAGCCCAAAGATCAGTCTATGTCTGTATAAGATGGTTCTGCTGCCGCAGCTGATGTACGCTGCTGTAGTCTGGTGGTCCAAGGCGAAGAGGGTGGAGATAAGGAACCGGCTCAAATGCCTAGAGGGAAATTTCCTGAGGGCAGCGACCGGGCCCATAAGAACGACACCTACGGATGCCCTGGAAATTGCCCTGGACTTGATCATCTTGTGGTGAGTAGGGCAGAATCAATAGCTCATAGACCCCTGTGCTAGGGGGATGGCAAGCGGAAGCGACCTATGTCAAGCTTGACATCCTCAAGAAAAATCCCGGGAACATGAGTCAAAATAAAATGACCAGGAAGTACCAAATCAGGAAGGCCTTTAAAACTTACATCCCTGAGAAGGAGAACTGGGAAACTGTAAAGAAACCAGGCACCAATGTCATACACTGGTATACAGATGGCTGAGGATACAGAGGCTGGTTTAGAACAGAACTGTACGGGGGAGAAGAAAACTACCGGTGCAACTGCTCCTTAGGGACTATGGCCACCGTATTCCTAGCGGAAGTTCTGGCAATCAAAAAGTGCTCAGAGCTGCTGGTGTCCCGGATGACAATCAACAAACACATTTTTCTGTAGACAGATAGTCAATAAAGGCTCTCCTCAAATCCAGTGCTGACTCTAAGTTGGTCTGGGAAGCCGTGGAAAGCCTCGAAAAACTGGAGACCAGCAACAAGATAATCCTTGCCTGGATCCCAGGTCACGAGAACATCTACGGCAGTAGTATGGGGTAGACTCAGGGAATGTTCCCATCTTCTGCCACCAGGCGGCGCTAGTGTCGCGGTGTGTATGGGCGTTATGGGAGGGGTGGGGGGAATGGCGGGAGTTTCAAATTTCGGCACTAGG